TCATGTAGATATATAATCAGCCTTCAACACCATCATCAATCCAGCACTTAATGACCCGGTGACCATACATTCACACACACACACACACACACACACACACATACACACACACACACACACACACACACACACACACACACACACACACACACACACACACACACACACACACACACACACACACACACACACACACACACACACATACACACACACACACACACACACATACACACATTGCCAGGCAGATCCTCAAACCCGAATTCTTATAGTTTACGTTAGTTTTTGTCCTGTAACGGATGAGGGAAGGCATGTGGTATCGGTGCGATTTCGAAGTCGTTTTGGCCTCCATCTTGGCTTTCTTTAATGGTGAGGTAAAGTTATACTTGTTCAGTGGATTTGTTTAGACGTCTCTCCCAACCGAGGGAAAAAGGAAATTGAAATAAACGTATGATTTTTTAAAAAAGTAATGCAAATAGGCTATAGACGTAATAGACCCATTAACTCATTAGGTCCCAAGACAACTGTTATAGTGACTCGTCAATGAGACTTAAGTAGGAGAGGTAATGTGGCAGACTGTGGCCCACATTACCCACAATCACGACCTCAGGATGGGAACTGTCCCTACCAGAGAGAACGACAGGTCACGGGCGTTAATTAGGCAGGTGTTTGCAGGTGGGGGGGAGGGAAGCCGGTGTGTCTAGATCAACAGATAGATAACCCTTGACACTCATGCCAGCTGCTGAGGGGCGACTTGTCGATAGATAGTAAGATCTTATTCCCTTGGCGTGCGAGGGGAGGGAGGGGAGGGGACGGGGGAGGTGGAGGGGGTAGAGGTAGGGGGGGGTTGTTGTTGTGATTGTGGGGTTAGAGGGAGTAGCTTGGTGGGGTTGTTTGATGCTGTGTCAAGGGTTACGAAGGTTGTGGGGTTAAGAGACACAATACTGGAGTTGTTTGTGCTTAGAGACAGTTAGTGAGGCTGTGTTGCCCGTGTTGGATCTGTCCTCTCTGCCTTTTTCTCTGTCTCTCTTTAACTTTTATTTGGTAAACCACCATGTCTATATTTTTTGTATATTGTCTGTCCAAGTTGCAGATGACAGATAAATAGAGAGAGAGAGAGAGAGAGAGAGAGAGAGAGTCAATGAGGAAACTAGGTAACACGTTTGCAAAAATCAATCTGATAAATAGAAAATGTAAATGTCTTTATTAAGAGACCGCCCGATATGATCAGCAACGAGATGAGGAATATATTGAAAGGAAATGACACACAAAGATGCTTTTAAGATAATTACTGAAAAAGTTAACCAACCATTATCATAGAGTTAACCCAAGACTCCAAGTATAATTTGATACGAAAAGGAGACAAAATTCCTTAAGGGAGAGAGAATATATACTGTATGCAGTAGACTGGTTGGCCTCGGTGGCTGACAGAACCACTACGGGGGGGGGGGAGTACACAGGCCTCCTGGTGTACATGTACACTACGCCACCTGCTGGCCTGACACTCTCTCCACCTCCAGTTGTTATCTCAACCACTAACATTTCCCTCCGTTCCATCATGCACGGTAACCTCTAGCTCTCTTGGTTCCTCCCTTCCTACTTTCCTGCTTTTGTTTGCTTAATGAAATAACCTCCATCTTTTCTCCACGTACTTGTTTCTTTGTTCCAGCAGGCGGCGGTGGCTGGCAGAATTCCTCTCGTCCGATCATCGAAGTTAAGCAACATTGGTTCTTGTTAATAGTAAAAATATCTCGTCAGTCAGGAGAATTGTTTCCTTAGTTATGCGGAGTATAGAGGCTCGTGTTTTTAGTCAGGTCTTTAGGGTGTGATGCTCGTGTTCTTAGTCAGGTCTTTAGGGTGTGATACTCGTGTTCTTAGTCAGGTCTTTAGGGTGTGATACTCGTGTTCTTAGTCAGGTCTTTAGGGTGTGATGCTCGTGTTCTTAGTCAGGTCTTTAGGGTGTGATGCTCGTGTTCTTAGTCAGGTCTTTAGGGTGTGATGCTCGTGTTCTTAGTCAGGTCTTTAGGGTGTGATGCTCGTGTTCTTAGTCAGGTCTTTAGGGTGTGATGCTCGTGTTCTTAGTCAGGTCTTTAGGGTGTGATGCTCGTGTTCTTAGTCAGGTCTTTAGGGTGTGATGCTCGTGTTCTTAGTCAGGTCTTTAGGGTGTGATGCTCGTGTTCTTAGTCAGGTATTTAGGGTGTGATGCTCGTGTTCTTAGTCAGATCTTCATGGTGTGATGCTCGTGTTCTTAGTCAGATGTTTATGGTGTGATGGTCTGGTTGGAATGGTCGGAGGAAACATTCTACATTTGACCACATATAAACGTTTATAAACTTATCTGTTATATTTTGTAAAATGTTATATGTACCTAAAATACTAATATAATTTGCTTCATATAAGATATAATCATGGATTAAATTCATTTTATAAGTATTCATTACAATATCCCGTGGGGCATACTTCACAGGTGGTCAAGACGCACCTGGTTCACCTGGACAGGACAAGGAAAGCCCTATCATTAAGCTGCCACACGCTCTTATAATCTACGTCAAGACTATCTGGAGGAGCATGGAAAATATCGGCACATCCGATCCAAAAGCGCTTACTGTATCGGGTTGATCCATCGGTCACGGCGGGCCGGGTACCCGAGCACCAGAGATCTCTACTGAAGCCACGGGTGTCGTGTCTCAACTGCCGTGTTCGACCCGGGATACGACTTCCATACTCACGACACCGGCTTTCATACCTCTTCCCTGGTATTCACGAACGCTACTCTGATTGTCGTGCCGCTTTCATAGCCAAGAGTTTTTCTCACGGATCCTGCATTTGCATTCAGTTTATTGTCCGCTGGTGTGGAGATATCCATGCAGATCGCAGTGAATTATATTCCAAATTAAGTAACTTGGAGAAATGGTTCCGAGAGCGTGATACATAATGTACGGGTCGTGTGAAGACTGTGTGGTCCTCCAGGGTTCCAATTTACCCTCAGACTCGTGAACACAACAGATGTATATAATATAATACACTATAAACAATACTTTATCATCTACAAGTGTTGTTTACATAATTTACTTCAAGTTTACATCATTCGAAAGTTTTAGTTGTAAGTTCTGGCAACAGGTGACCAAGACGCACGACCAAGGTAGACTGTAAGAGATGGGGACTTGCAGGTTAATTAGGGAGGTCACCAGCTTAGCCAAGAAGGTTTCAACTGAAATATCCTCGTAACAAGCACGATTCCAGGCCGTTACTAACTAGACTCGAACCCAGGCTAGCAAAATTCAACCAAAGCCAGAACTGGAAAGACTCATATCCATTACTTATAAGACTCGACTTCGTTACTAACAAGCCAAGAACCCAGTACTAATAAGATTCGAACCCAGTACTGCATCAGCAAGATTCGAACTCAGATTTAACAGGACTCGAACCCCAGTATCAGAATGACGCCAACCAGACACCATCAACGGACGAATTACAAAGTACTGCTCGAGACACGACACTGTGATAATTTATTCACTTAGAGTATTATGCCCTGACGATACATATCTATAAGTTATTGATGGAGGGTTTTGTTATGAATCACGGCCCCTGACCAGCTGTAACCTGCCCTCACACACACACACACGCACACACACGCACACACACACACACACTTCCCAGTTTTATCCAACGTTGATAAATAACTCTGATCTGAGGAGCTATTGACTCAAACTAACGGGAAATGAAAAAATAAATAAAAAAAATACAAGAAAAATATTACTTAAAAACAATTTTGTTATGTTGTGTACTCAGATTATTTTGTTGTCTCTGTGATATTTACAAAATTCCCTTTATATGTGTTTGTATTTACATAACCCCTTGACGTTAGTGTTTACAGAGCCCCTTGATGTTTACATGGGTCAAGAAACTCAAGATGATACCGAAGATTACAAATGCAAGTACGTACCATAAGTCAAGCAATGGTACCAAGCCTGGGTGAATACAACTTTGGACCTCCTGAACTCTCCTTTTAACATGATCATCAAACCCTGAGAATTAAAACACTACACCTGGAATAAATTAGCTCAAGGTAACACGGAACTAATATACGAATTCTGGAGCAATAAATCTCACGGAGGCGAACAGGTGGTGAGTGAGTCAAGGGCGGGAGGTCACCTGAGGCCACCAGCTCTGACACTCTCTGATAAAGCTTGTACCTTACCTGCTTAATTATCCCCGGGTCGTGCTCACCTGTGTCAGCACCACGACCCGGAGATATTAAACAGTTTCACGCGATAGGTATTTCCCTCGAATTAGTGATGTGAGGAGAGATTTGACTGGTGATGTGAGAAAGTATTTACCTGGGTTATGAGAACGTACTAATGACGCAGGTAACGGGCGAACCGAGTACCTGGTGATGTACCTGGTGATGTGAGAAAGTATTTACCTGGGTTATGAGAACGCACTAATGACGCAGGTAACGGGCGAACCGAGTACCTGGTGATGTACCTGGTGATGTGAGAAAGTATTTACCTGGGTTATGAGAACGCACTAATGACGCAGGTAACGGGCGAACCGAGTACCTGGTGATGTACCTGGTGATGTGAGAAAGTATTTACCTGGGTTATGAGAACGCACTAATGACGCAGGTAACGGGCGAACCGAGTACTTATCTTCCTGGTGATGTGAGATCCATTCTGACTATATAAGAAATTCTTAAAAAAAAAAAAAAACCGACTGCGCTCTCTGAATTACGCCCCGTGAATATAACTTTTACTCACGCTATTTTTTTTTTGTAAGTGACAAAAACACTGAATAGAAACTTTCATATTTCTCTCCCTCTCACATTATACCCAGGAGTAGGAAGACGTGTAAATCTCTCTCCCCCTTCCAAGTGGAGAGAACGCCTAGCTCTCCCCCTGCTAGGTAAAGAGGACTCCTAGCTAACCCCCCGCTAGTAAAAAAAAAACTTATCTAGACACGATAACTCAACACTATTTAAAGAGACGGAATTAACTAACCGAATCTTTGTGGCTGCTGTCTCTGGTTTCTAATCCTTCAAGAGTGGTTCAGGTGAAGCTTTTCCTTAGTCCTACGTTGACAAAGACCCTCCAGACAGGACCTATGAAAGAGCAAAAAGATAATGGAGATGTAAACATATACACCAGACACATGTATACCTATATATAAAAACGTACACACAAAACACCATTTACACACACATATATAGACAAACACACACACACACACACACATGCTTAGACACACACACACACACACACACACACACATGATTAAACCAGACAGACAGACAGACAGACAGACAGACAGGCACAGTTCTTCACTCTGTACCTAACAAGAAGTCACTGAGTGTTAAACTACCAAAATAAAAACATTGACAAGACTTAATGATAAAGTCACAATCAGCTGACGCATGTCAACACAGGTGGCTGGTCCATAGTCACCATCACGTGTATATTAATTAGCTCAGGTGAGATTCTTGTTTTCATTAATCAGATATTCTGCAACAGATGAAAAAAGTGCAGCGTCATAACCTAAGCTAATCTGACCTAACCTGACCTTAGCCTAACCTAATCTGATCCTTGTTAACCTCATTTAATCTAACTTTAAACTAGTGTAATTTAACCCATGTTATGCCTAACTTAATGTAAACTTAATTTAATCTAATATGACCCAGCTAAAACTACCTTAACTTAACCTTAAACTAACCTAATTTGATTCCAACCAACCTGCAAATATGATACCCTCAATAGTACACAGACGCCATCCATAAGCACATAGAAAGGTCTGGAAGTATCGAACCCAAGAATAACAAGTTGATCAGAAGGTTCCATCCCCCATCGCCAAGGAGGAAGAAAGGGTCAAAATTACCCCCAAAACATGGAGGAAAAATATTGACCCTTATCTTCATTTCAGATCTCATTCGATTACGCCAACACCAGAACCCAGTGAGAATCTTATATCTTTGTTGCATTTATTGTGTTTTGTTGAGGGACCGACGCAAGGAGACATGAGTAGAGGAGAGGAGACTGTAATGAAGCCGAGTTGCAGTCGTCTGATACCAAAGGGAAATAATACAGGAAGCACGTGGCCAGCAATGTCTCACTCTATGGGGAACGCGTAAAAAAAATGGGACGAGCGTGGAGAAGTAATAGACAAAAACGACAACCACAACAATGGTCCGGGAAGGTTCCTATTTGGGTGGAAGCGTTTGTCTCGGTGTCGTGGTAGCGTCACCAGCACACAACCACAGCCGACACTAAGTTACGCACGTATTTACTCTCCGACGCGTTTATTGCTCATAAAACACACAATTAAAACTAACAAAAGGCCCAAATCGTCTCGTTTTGGAGCCGAGGATTCGCTCTTTATCCTCCACGTCAGTGTGGTAAGTCGAGAAAATCCTCACACAACAATAATAGCGTCCGCCATATTAGGCTGGGCTGGGAAATCACTGGTCGAGGAAGAGCTCCGAGAAGGTTTCTTCAGGATTATTTATCTTTTACTTATAGTTTTTAATGTATTGGGTGAGCGAGTGTGGTATATGAATCAGGAGCCACGATTGTAAGGCGGCGGAGGCGCTCTGTGTACAAAGACGAAACTGGCTTTTGAGCTCTACTGAACAGCTGCTCAAACAGATTGTCGCTGTTCTTGATAATTCAAGAAACCAAGAGAAAATGGCCTTATTGAAGGATTAGATCACCATACATCATAATTCAGAATTTATTTTTGGATGAGAGACAATTAATATGACAAGTTAATTAGTTATGCTAGACTTACGGCCCGGCATCCCTCTAGTTGTCTGGCCAGATGATGCATTTTAAATTACAATCTGTCTCAGTTTATTATCGTTGCTCTTCTCCCACTTTAGTGTAATGCTAAAGGACGAAGAAGGAATAAGAGAATAATGGAAGACAAGAGTGGGGGACGACAGGGGAGATGACAAGCAGAAATGATTTATTTTAAAATGTTATAATCAAAGTGGGTAAAAGGCGTTCTAGGTGAGTGAGTGTGACGGTGATCAGCGGCCAGGGCAGGTATGTGAGCCACGCTGAGGCTGTATCATTAACCTTTGAGTGCCGCCCCCGGCTGGATGTTATCGTGGCTCTAGCCTCACTAAAATGTATATTTACTCTCGAATATTTTTTTATGAATTCTGACTCTTGTCTCTCTCTCCTTGTTCCATGCTCTTCGTTATTCTTTATATCTATTTCTTATGTTTACTTAATTTAAATATATACATACAATGAAAAATTTACATATGCATATGAATAAAGATTTTCTTACAAGGTGTTTAAGACTAAATAGAGATGATGTAGGAGATAAACAACTAACAAGTGTCAACACACCCTTCACCTGAGGTAAACAATGTCATGTTAAGTGTCAACAGGAAGTCGGTAATTAAGAAACCAGACCAGGGTTCAAAGTTAGCGAGATCCTGTGTGTGTGTGTGTGTGTGTGTGTGTGTGTGTGTGTGTGTGTGTGTGTGTGTGTAATATTAATAATAATACACATACACACACGCACACACACACACACCTGTCACCCATACTTCCTATAAACCGCCCACGCCCCTTCCCTACCCATCAACCATCCTCCCGCTGCCCCTCACTATACAAATCACTTTACACCACGACCACGGGGCATCACACCCATTCCATCCACAATGCCCATCCCATACCCGCATTATACCCTTCCATCCTCCACCCCCCTGAAAAAAAAATGCAGTCATAGAGATCTGAGAGTGGCCAGACGGACATTATGGGTCTGACCTATCACGCATCAGCTGACCCCCCCCCCTACCCCCTCCCAGCACAGGCGACCACAACAGTTGCAATGGATAGATGACGAGGAGTTAAACGTCTTTGCTTATTGTTCATTCAGAGATACAGCAACACTAACACCAATATATTCACTCCTCATAAACACCTACGTACATATGTGTAATTTAAAGCAATACGAACCAGTAACGAGAAATACTATAGGGATTAATCACACATCAATCACTCAAGCAGATCAAAATATACAGGGGTGTAAAACAGGAATAGAGTGATATTATGGTAAAATAACCTCAATCACACCAGTACACGACAGTAAAACACTCGCAAACATAAGCCGGAAATATAAACCCAGAGTAAATCACACATGTATAATATTACTATTAGAAGTCCAAAAATATCTAAAGACGATAAATAACACATAAGAGTGATTATTATTATTATTATTATTATTATTATTATTATTATTATTATTATTATTATTATTATTATTATTATTATTATTATTATTATTATTATTATTATTATTATTTTGTTCCAGGTGAGCAAGGTACCAGAAGGTAAAGGTTAATAACGCCATAAACCGTCATAATACAACACTGTGCCGTTATATAAAGGTCACATCTCTACCCCTCACACGCTATCTATTTAAATTATCATAATTTTTTTGTTTACTAAATTTCCTCCCCCATAAAAAAAAATGTTAAACGCAGGTGTCGAGAGGTTCCCATCACCATAAACACAGAGAGATACATAACTTACCAAATATAACACTCGTCCAATGGGTTATGTCCAGACAGATGGGTTATGTCCAGACAGCTGGGTTACGTCCACACAGATGGTTTATGTCTACACAGATGGGTTACGTTCACACACCACTAGTAAAATTTTTTTCTTTATATATTATTGCGTACACAGGACACTCGAACACATACATACACGTGTACACAAATGGACAGACGACCCGGGACTGTTTACACCACCTCCTCGGCCCGCGGCGATGAGACCAAACAATGAGAAAACATCAATACAAACTCCTTAATCAAGACTCAAAGATTTAGATGATTACCACACTTATTTTCGTTCGTCTAGACTCACTACTGGCTGAAATAGGACTGAATTCACGTTCGTCTAACAGAAATATATATATATACAAAACTTATAAAATAATAGAAGAAATGATAAGATAATAGTGTTAATATTTAATGTATTTCTAAAGTAAACAATCTGGCGAGCAAACAAATGTAAGGGCTCAGGGCTGCCAACACTCCCACATATTTGTTTTCTCTTCCATTTCCCCTCGATCATGTTGGTATTAATGTTGACAAAAACTTTTTATGGTGAATTATAATTGCATTGTAATTTATCACATAGTAAACTAGTACATTATTCTTTAGGTGTGATAGACGGTAATAAGAGTAATTTATGATCATCAGATGTACTTAGGAGTTCAGGTAAGTCATTAATTATTTCACGTATTCAGAGAAGCAACGTAATGTATTCTGAAACGCCTTTATGTAATGTGTGTATAACAGTAGTCCACCCACCTTGTTGTTGTTGGTGCTGTTGTTTATCGATTCATAGAGACTTGTGATAGACGATCCTCAGAAAATCTTGCCTTTGAATATTTCTCTATATACGGCTATATTTCTCACTACATATATTCTTTTAAATTTGTATATTTTTTTCTAAATCTGAATATTTCCCTAAATTTGAATACTTCCTTAAATTTGAACATTTCCCTGGAATTGACTTTTTCTCAGAATCTATTTGTTTTCGAAATATGAATAAACCCCTAACATTGAATATTTGATTATATATTCCTTAACATATGAATATCTCCTTCACGTGAACTCAATACTAAAACGATAAACGATGAAAAGATTTAGACAATAGAAAAAAAAATACCAATGTACAAAAATAAACAAAATAATTAACAGGTAACAAAAGAATCCAGGTAGATAAGGTTTGACTCTCTCAAGAATGTGTCCTAGTGTTCCTACCAGACCATGAGAATAACTAATGCAATGTCCAAGAAGTTATAAACATACACAGCATCGGTAAAATAATAGTATGCAAATTTTATGTGTGTTTTGCCTCAGGAAATTCTTGCTTGCTTACGAGCCACTTCTTATCTCGACACAAGAGGCTGCAGTTTCTGGTGAATATTTATATAATAGATCAGGAATCTTCAATTTCGTATGTTAAAAATTTTCTCCTAACTGATGATATAATAGAATAAACTACTTGAATTATGAAGCGAGAACAACATCCAATAATATAATCTATGGTTCATATTATCGTAGGTACATAAGGTAAATTA